CGAACCTTGAAAATATAGTTTTCTAAATTGGGAATAGGATTCCTAGATGAGAGTAAAGAAATTTTTGAAATTTCGCCCAACCTTCTTGCAGGGTTCGGCCATACATATGATGGATCTCCCATCCCTTCACCATGTTGGGCATGAATGATCAACCCTACTAAGTTGACTAGTTTTATACTTGTATATGTATTTAGGGGTGAATAAATGGGTAGATTCTAATTGGAATAGAATGGAATTGACCTTGAACTAGCCTTGATTTGACTGTACTTAATTTGTTGCCAGGTAAGATCTAATTCCATTTTTTTGGCACTAATCCCTATTCAGGCCGATTCTAGGGTCTAAGGGTTTATCCTACCCAAACCGATCTAGATAATTGGCATTACTTGGTCTTGGTGGAACTAGCCTTGGAATTGGACATGCCTCAAAAGAAATATTGAAATGCTTTCATGATGTGAAGATTTGAACCCAAGCTCTCATGGTTATAATGGCCATGGTCTCACTTGATCATTAAGTCACTTAAGTGCTTTGATTATTATTTTTTTAATTTAATAGTTGAATGTGTACAATAAGTAATGTAAAAGGTAATATTTACAAACTTAAATAATAAAAGATGAGTTTTATATTGTATGTTAATATATTATGATCATATTAAATTACTCAATCCAATTAATTTAATTATTGTCATTATTATTGTTGTTATTGTCATTGAAAATCAAATTTTCAAAGATAGACATTGGAACAACCGAGACTAGAAGCAGCCTTGGAACTGATCTTCACAGGGTAGGTTCTAGTTCCAATTCCTACATAGTAAGCTTCAACCCATTCTCACCTAGGTTCCAAGTTTTGCTTCTTGATATTGTCTCAAACTAGTGAGCTGGATAAGTTGAGGTGTCTCGAATTGGTGAGTTGGACGAGCTATAGAATTCCGATGACTTATAAGCACATAAACAGTTAGAGGCCTCGAGATGGACCCTTGAAAAGATAGTCTTTGATGCTCAAGTCAGTAAGACCATTGAGAGGGTTGACTAGGTTGTATTGGCCATATGAGTTGTGAACTTGTGAGTGCAAGAAGAGTTGAAGAGAGTTTGAGTTCAGAATGCACGAGTGCATAGAGAGTTTTACCTAGGGTAGTGTGCCCTATACAGATGTTTGGGAAGCCATTGCACTCTGTGCTTGTGGGACACATGCCATCTTCTCAGGTAGTCCTCGCATTAACCGTTCTCTTACATGGCTTAAACATTCTACTAAGGGAGGATGAAGAGAGTTCGAGCCATTGCATCGATTTGGGGGTTGGGAGACACCTCATTGATGTTCACCACGTGTCTCGCCCATAACAAGACATGTGGTGTTTCCTTAACACTAGCTTACTCTGATAACCATTGTTTTAAAAGGCTTAAGGCTTGAGGTGAGACGCATAGATTTGGCTTCAAGGCTTAAGACTCACAATTTTGATGTAAGGCTTAAGCCTTTGCTAGAATGAGGCATAAACCTCAAGATACCTCATGCTTCAAGCCTCAATGATTATTTAGTGATTTAATGCAAATATATATATATATATATATATATATATATATATTATGCATTTTTGTAGTTCAAATATATGAAAGAAGCACTTCAATAATTATGAGCCAAATAGATAAAAGAGTAAAAATGAAAACCATAGAAGAAATCAAGTTCTATTAGTTTCTCATATTATTTTATGAGAGTTCAATGCAAAAGGGGTCAATCAAGTTCTTAGTTTCTCTTGAATATATCAAGTGAGCTTATTATTATTATTATTATTATAAATCTAACATCTCAAGTTTGTTAATTTTTTCCTAATGGATTTATTTTTCATTGATTTTTTTGCATAGATCAAATTAACAGAATTGTTTTCTTTCTTTTAAACTATTGAATGGCCATAAATCTAATATTAAATTATATGATCATATGTTTCATTTTTTTAAATCGGTCATTTGAATTATTTGAGAACTTTAAATTTTAAAATATGAAATGTAAAATATTTATAATTGTCACATTAATTATTATTTTATTTAATACTTAAATGTATTGATTATAAACTTTTATTTTATGAATATAGTTAAATGTATTGATTATAAAGGAAGGTCCCACTCCAGTACAGATATCCGTCCTCTATTCGGACACGTGTTATTTTCTCATTAGGCAAGGATTATGGCTGCATTAGCATCACTTGTATAAATCGGATTGTACACTTGTACTCTCTCCGTCTGTGTTGTCGTGCATCTATATTCAATTGCAGGTTGTTTTGTCAACCAAATCAATCAGATCAACTTCGTAGTTTGTCACTCAAAACCAATTGGCCATTAGCGAAAACCCACCAACTCGGGTTGTATCTATTTGGGTCTATTTTCAGTTTAGTTTGTTTGTTCAAAAGATTTAAACTTAAAAAATTAACTTTAAATTTCATAAATTACAATGATATTATTAAAAAATAAATTACAAAAATTAAATCTATGATATAAAATATTTTAGACTAACAAATATGGGAATTTTCCTACTTTCCCATATTACAAAATTAAATATAAAATATAAAATATTAATATATTT